CGCAGCCCCCGCGCCCCGCCAGCCCCAGCCGGGGAGAGAAACAAAAGGTATTTGCTGACGTGGGCGTTGGACACGGACGCCCGAGGGCTGGGGACACAGTTAAAGGGGCAACGCACCCGATTGCGGCCGCAGCCCCGGCCCCGGCGCCCCGCGCACACGCGGGATGCCCGCGAGGGGAGGGGATGCCCTACATGCCGCCTTTTCACACCTTTATCTATAGCAGCGGCCCCGGTGACCCAAATGCTTCTCCTTTCTCTCGCAGCTCCCTCCGAAGGACGCGTGACATCTTCTTTTCTCCGTTCGGAGCTGCTAATCTTTCCTGGAGAGAACATGTCTGAAAAGGCGAAACCTGAACCTCTCACTTTCTCGCCCTCGAAGTTTGGTAGCTTTTTTTTCCCCTTCCTCTCCTTACCACCAGGGCCTTTTCCGTGCTTTTCGCACCCCAGTTATATCCCATAAATATTTATTTTCCCATGGAATCCATTCTGCCTTAACCGTGTCTTTTGTGTCCGTTTTGCCCTTCCCTTCCATAAACTGCAGGCATTCCATCCAACCAGGCCTTGGACACTTCCAGGGATCCAGGGGCAGCCACAGCTTCTCTGGGCAACCTGTGCCAGGGCCTGCCCGCCCTCACAGGTCTCTCTTTCAGAGAAAAATTTACAAATTACTCTAAAAACCCAACGTTCTTCTCACTGATACAAAAATTATTAATGTACATTTCTCACCTGGCTAATTTGAGGTTTGGTCACCAAATACAATTAGGTAACACCCAGGTAAAAGGGTTCAGTTTTCCTCAAAATAAATGTTTGTCAAGCATCACAGCCTTCGGGGACGGTGTATTTTCTGACTTGGAATATCCAGGGATACATTTCTTGCCAAAGCAAACTCGAGAGCCTGTACCAGAACAACTTAAACAACAGTTCAAAGCCCGACTAGAAATGAATTAAGAATGAGATTACAGTTTTCATATAATCACTGCCAGCTTGGGTTTGGCTTTCCTTAATTTGCATTGGCATCCTTGTTCCTGCCCTCAGCTTTCTGAGGGACCAGCCCAGGAGGGTCGATTTGAGCTGCACCTTCATCTACAAGTACAAATACAAATCTTCAAACCCACGCAGGCTCCAGGTCACCAGGAGATCAGTTCCTTCTGCAAAGTGGACAGGAAATGGGAATGCACTGCCCTAAACCCCTGAGTGCAGGGAGGAATCTTCCCCCTGGCAGTAGGAGAAGCCTGAGGTCTGGTGGCAGTGTTGGCAGAGGCTTCTCAGCAGAATTAGTCAGGAGCTTCATCTGCACAGGAGTTCAACCCCCTAATCCAATAGAATCGTTTAATTACTCATTAGGCTCTTATCTTAACCCGGCTTCCCTTAACACCTAAATGTTCCATATTTGCATACAGCTCATGCTGATGACTCAGAACTGGATCTAAACAACCTCCTCCCCAGATCATCAAAAGGTTCTCTGCTCAACCTCTGATGGCCCTTGGCTGCCCTGCTCTGCTTTCCTGCTCTCCTTCCCCCACAGAGAGTCCTTTTCCCCAAGGATGGGGACAACCAAGCATGGCCCTTGTTCCCTCTGAGTGCTGCAGCACCCACATCTTTCCCGGAAAAAATGGAAAACCTGTGTACTTGCCACTTCAATTCAATTAGAATAAAGCTACAATGACTTCAGAAAGCCAGTGTTAAATAATATACAAGATTTTCTAAAAAAATTCTTATATAAATATAAATAAATATATATATATATATAAGATTTTCTAAAAAAACCCACTTGGCTGGGGTTTAAGCAGACAGGATCCTTTCAGTCCTTTCCTCCCAAGAACCTGATTCTTCTTGCAAACCCTCTCGTCCCCAGAAATGGATTTGCCCATTTTTTAATTGGAGTAATTAAATTGGGGATGGTTATTTTTTTTTTTAATTTTAGTTCAAGAAACTGAAATGTGAACCTCAGTGTGGACACTCCCAGGTTTACTCAGTCAACATCTGAATGGTAAAAAAATCAAAGCAACCCTCTCAGAGAGTTTTATTTTCTAGACAATCAAAAAACTCCAGAATGCTCCAAGATCCACAAATATAGTTCAGTCACTTCTACAAAGAAGGTTCAGTTTTATAAGAATTTGTCATTGTAACTGGACTAAAGGACTTCAGTTATGAAACCGTCTTACAAAACATCAGGAAACCAAATGACCACGTCTGGAAGATTTACAAGGGCTTGCACCAAGAGGTTAAATGAGCTCCAAATCCCAGTGCAGCATGTATTCCTCCAGTGAAATACAGTGCAATCATGTGCAAAAATACATTAAAATGTACATTCCTAAACAAAGTCAAGTACATCGAGCTAAGACTGGAAGATAATGTCGTTCTGCACGGCCTTCAGAAACTTTTGAGAAAGAGATTGTATCGGAAATAACTTCCCTAAAAACGTTATTTTGGATTCTCCATCGAGCACCATTTCAAAACAGCCGCATCATTTTCTCAAAGCTCGTAGAGGCTGCATCTACAATGGAAGATTTCGGGGGAAAACACCCAAAAAACGAAGTGGAAAACACAAGAAAAACAGATTTACATGAACACACTCCCCCCCCCAGGTCTCACAAGAATGTGGATAAACTATTCATCCTCTTCTACCACAAAGGCTGAAGGAACTCCATAGGAAACAAAACAGCACAATATGACAATTCCAACAGGAAACACGAGTTTGGTGGTGACTTTCCACGTGGAATGTGCACGGCCAACCCCCCCACCCCCTCCCCTCACCCCTCCCAGCTCCATTCTCTAGGCACAA